TTGGAATGATTGGAGGATGAGGACATCGCGCATGTGTGCAGCAAGGAAGCAGAGCCTCAAAACATGGTTGGAGAACCAGATCTTTTGATTGTCCATGATACGGAGAACCTGACTTTTTGAGAAAACTAAGCTGGAAGAATGACATTGAAGTGAAGGCCTGGATAACGGAAAGTAAACAGCTTTTGTATGCGTGTGCAGAGAGAAGGCGCAGGCAGGCAGCATCGCTCGGCTATTGCAAGTTTTTGAAACTTCATAGAACCTTCGATGAGGGTTTTTGGTCGAAGTAAGCCAGAGGATTGGCGTTAGAGGGGAAGTCCAGTCATACGACTGGATCAAACACCTTTGTGTAGACAAAAAGAGGAGGCGCAGACACAAACATGGACTGGTTGTTGCTTATCTTTGGTTCTCATGAAAGAATCGGCGTCCCTTTTTGATGAATCCAACTCAGAAGGTTGTTGTAGAAGTAATACTCTTGTTGCCAGAAAGAGGCGGTTTTATATGCGACTGAGCCGGAGACAGGACACTCTCAACATGTCATTGATGTTGAGGAGTTTTTGGAGTGCTCATGGCAACGTCCTCGAATAGTTTTTGGTAAAGCACGGAAACGAATGTTGGTAAAGAAGGAAGACATCCAGCCACCAGGAGGCAAGTTTATATAAGCCCAGAGATTTTGCGGGCAGGCGCATTACATGTAACCGTAGATTCATTGTTTTTGACCGCGATCATGGGTATCCGAATGCAATATTTCTGAACAGCGAAGACAGCGACATGGCGCATGGTAATTTCACTTTGAGTCCACCCCTCGATCGCTATCTGCGAGCCGAGGAGCGAGAGGCAGACGCACAACATGGTCACTGTCCGATTGTGTTTTCGAACTCCCATCATACTTATCTTCTGAGTATTTTTGGGTAGTAAAGACTGCGACGTTGGAGCGAACGCAGACATCAAACCTTTCTTATCAGCTTTTTAGTTGAGTTGAATTGGAACGCGCGCACGCGCAACATCCCATTCTCGTACACCGATTTTTCGTCTCCATGGTCGCCCTCAGGGTACGTTTTTGGTGCAGCGAAGATTTGGAGGTGCATGGAGAGATCTGGGATGGTTTTTGGAAGGACGCTTTGTAGTGCAAAGAGCGGAAGGAAGACAACGCCATATGCGTAGTAGGCTTTCCAGTTTTGATTTCCATGCCTGGAAATACTGCTCATTTTGGAAAAGTAAAGAACGGAATGTTGGTGTAAGAAGCTACACTCCAGCCGTGGAAAGAAGTGTTTATATAACAGTAGACGAGAGAAGGCAGGGGCGCTATAGGGAATGTTCACTTCGTTTTCGATCTCTATCGACTATTCTGTTTCTAATTTTAGAACAGCGAAGACAGGCATAATAGGATGTTCCTAATGTTTGAGAAAAAGGCGGACGGATAGTCTTATACAGGCGTGATTTTTAACTTTTGTAGATTGTCCATGAGTCATCATCCCAGCTGTTTTGGAAAAGCGAAGACCGGAATGTGGTGTAGAAGTCAACGTCCAGCAGTCGTAAAGTAGTTTTTATATCCCAACTCCAGCTCCGCCACTCATGGGGTCAAGCTATGTCTTTTTTGAAAAGAACGACACATTGCAGTAATGCGCGGGAGGATTTCCACGGCACCATGGAGGCGTTGACTGAAGTTTTTGGAAAGACGAAGGAGAAGCGAGGGAAGAACATGGCATGACCTTTTCATGGTTTTTGGACAGCGCCATGTCGTAACCAGCCTTGGCTTTTTGGAAATGAGAATGTGGAATGTGAATACAGAAGGGAAGGAAGGAAGAGGATGAGCGAGGTATTTATACGCCGCCGCCGGCCCTACTCATCACCCCTCTACTCCAACTCGTCTCATCCCAACCACCTCACGTCCTCCAACACCCCTCACGCGCACAACAACAGGACAGAACAGCGTAGGATGAAAAGGTAAAATAGTCATTAAACCATACTAACTCGCTATATCCTTGCATATACCCAAGCCTCTCATAACAAGACCGGCAAAGAAGATGAAAACCGCTATCCCAGCATATAGCTCCAAAGACGGCAGTATATATCGCTTATTTTCCGTAGCCCAGAACGCCCAAATACTCAGAGTGTACGCGGTAGGTAACGCATCCAAAGGAATGGGGGTATATATCCAATGCCTTTTATCCAAGGTTTTTCTTCTCCTTCCTTCACTCAATCAATCCCTTCAACCGGCGACAAGTCACGAATCCTAGTGGTTATCCTGTCATGACGCAACAACCTCAACCCACCCCTCCCTATTCCTCTCGACTCTACTCCCGTCCTCACCAGCCGTCAACTCCTTGGCCAAACCATCTTTCGCGCCTCTCCGCCTCGCCCTGTCCCTCACACTGCGCTCATCTTTCTCGCACTCCTTGATGGCCTCGACAACCTCTAGTTCTTCGAAGCGCGCATCTTGCAGATTGAGCTTCTGCCATTGAGGATGTTTCTGGCAGCGCTTCTTCAAACACGCGGTTTCCTTGTCATCAACGTCAATGTCCATTGCGTCAGCGCCGTTGGTCGCAGGTGTAGGCGTGGAGGAGATCTGTTCCGGGGTGGGAGTGAGGGTGGAGTAGTGGAAAGCAGCGCGGCCGTGTTTGCTGTTGCGCCAGAGGAGGAATTCGGCGTCGGACCAGGAGAGCCGCGAGTCGTAGCCGCAGAAATCCTTGGCTTTGACTTTCTCGCGATCGGCGAGACGGACGGCCTGTTCTTTGGCCATGCTGACGAACTTCTCGCGGTCTTTTAGGACTTCGAGGCGGTCTTTCAGTTGCGTCTTCTCTTTGTGAAGGGCGGTAAGGCGTTCGATCTCGCCAGCGGTGAGGGCCAGATCTTCGCCGTTTGAGGGGAAGGTTGCGCGGGACGGGGAGGCGGTTTGTGGGGGTGTGAGGACGCCGGTTCCGAGGTTCTTGAAGGCTTGGATGTTTGGCGATGCGTCGACGAGGGCTTTGAGGTCCTTGGCTCGTAGTGTGCCCCCAAGTGGTGTGGGCTCTTCTTCCTCTGCGCCTTCAGTCTCCGCAGGCTTCTTCTTCTTCTTGGATTTCTCCTTTGTTCCGTTGGCGCCCTTGGCACCTGCTGTCCGTTGTAGTTGTTCTTGCATGAAGAGAACTCCGCAGTCGTCGGAGCAGTATTTGCTCTCCCTGCCGTGATTTAGTCGCGCAGGTTTCCGACAGCCGTCCCGCCGGCACATCGGCTTCCATGTTGTGTTGCCCTTGCCGTTCTCCTCGCACTGCGGACATATGAACTTGTCGACCAGTTCCTCGTCCACCTGCCTCATGTTGACGCAGTCGCCGTGGAACCAGTCGTCGCATCCGCCATCGCATCCAATCATCCACTTGTGGTTGTCGGGCTTCTTGCATATGCAGTAGAGGTTGTGGTCTTCGGATGATTCGCCGTCGTCGTCGGTAGCGTGTTCGTGACCTGGGGCGGGCGAGGATCCAGAGACGGGTGTGCCGGCGTGCGAGCCTTTCTTCATCACCCTGCTGCCCGCCGACTTGGGTATCCGCGAGGTAGGCGTAACGGAGCGCGCCCCATCTTCCGTCTCGACCTTGCGCTTCTTGCTCGGCTTGGATGTCTTTGCGGTGCCCTTCTTCTTGATGGCGGAAGCGGATGATGGCGCTGGTCGCTTCTTGGTCGGGGCGGGTGCGGGCTTGGACTCGACTGGTGATGGGGCGCTTTCTGCCGCGCTCTGATTTCGTCTCCGCAGTCCAAGGTCGCTCTGCTTGGCAATCTCAAGCGCCTTGAGTGTGTCGGCGTCCATGTTCTCGCCAGTCACGGAACTCTGTCGCTCGGTCTGGGAGGCGGTGATTGCAGGAGTGTGTTCGCGCGGTGTACCAGAGGGCTCGTCCTTGATGAAAGGCTGGGGCGAAGGCAGAGTAGCGTTTCCATTTTGTGAATCAGGCTGCAGGGTGCCCGCTGCGGGCTCTCGAATCTGGGAGGTGGTGGGCTCGTCGCGCGTGAATGCAGGCTCGCGGTTCTGCGTGCTGTCTCGCTCGCCGTCGTCCGATGTGACTACCTGCGACACGTCCTGGCCAATGGGGGCGTCCTGGGTCTGCTCTTGCAGGGCCGAGGACAAATTTTGTATTGGCGCGAGGACTGGGGCGGGCGAGGTCCTCGACAGCAGCGACTGGCGGCGCTTCTGCTCCTCGGGCGAATTGGAGCCATGGTGATAGTGCTCGAGCGTCGGCGAGTGCACCTGGGGCTCGTCGAGGGGTGGCGAGGGCTCGACGGGCGCGTGGTGGGAGCCGAAGCTGCTGGTGCGTCGCGGCGCGTGGGACGAGGCCGTGGGCGAAGGCAGCTCGCGCGTCGGGGCGGGCACGAACTGCTGGCCGCTGCCCAGCGTCGCCAGCGTCGTCAGGGCATCGGCAGCGTCTTCGGTCGTGGTGGTGGCAGACGGGCGGCGCTGCAGGCCGGCGTCGGGGTTGAGGAGGGAGTCGATGCTGCTCATTGTGGCTGGCGGTCTGTCTAAGCGGGCATGTCGGGGCGGGGATGGAGGGATGGAGGGATGGAGGGAATGTCGAGGACGCAAGAGTGAGCAGACTTGAAGCGAGCGAGAGGAGAAAGGGCGGGTGGTGTGGAAAATAGAGCCGTTTCAATCAGCTTGGCGCGCAGAAGCGCTTGAGGGGCGGGCGAAGCTGCGTGAGCCTTGACAGCATGCAGGCATTGCTCGACCGCCTGCTACCACTGCGCCTGCCACCTATTACCTCACACCTACCAGCTCGACGTCCCTCGTGACGCTGACAAATGGCAAGCCACTGCATGTACCTCAATATCGCCTTCCTCGCCGCGGGTCTTCGTGTCTTTGTTGTGACGGCTGCCCGCAGCTCCAGGGCGCTTGCCGCCGATGATGCAACTCGACAACTGGGTCCCTTGAGGGGAGCTCCGAGCTAGCATCACCCAACATGACGTTTGTCCCAGTAAAGAGCGTTAACATAACTACATAGGGTATCATAGGCGTCTCTATCCATATATCATCCAACAGACTATTCATCGTCGTCGTTCCTCGGCCGCCCGCGTTTGCGCCCTGCCGCCTGCGATGCACCTTGAGTCGCCTCGACCGGCGCACTGTCACTGAGGGCGTCCGCCACCTGCAGCGTCCTCTGCAACTTCTTCTCCAGCTCCTCCACGTCCTCGCTCTCCCCAAACATCATCCGTATGAACTGCGTGACACCCTCCCGTCCCACCTCGACCTTGCCGCGAGGCCCGACAATGTAGTCAACTGTCTCCTCGCCCCCAGCAGGCGTCTCCCTGATCTTGACAATATACCCGTCTTTGGCCATAATCGCAAGCGTCTTGTCTTTGGTACCAACAGGCGTCGTCTGGTCTGCGTTCATGCGCCTGAGAGCGCGGTCTAGCTTGCCTTCTGGGATCATACCGCCAGATATGACGATGAGGGCGATGGCCATGGTGTACAGCCCGACATAAGAGTCTTCTCGGTTTATTTCGTCTGAGTCGGCTGCTAACGGTCGCGATGGGCCGATGATGTCTGGTATGCGGTACTGCTCAGGTAGGATAGTCTGGAGGACCCATATACCGGTCGACTTGCTTTGGGATTCCGAACCGGCGGCAGCTGGACATGTTAGATCATACGCATCATAGTAGACCATGATACATACCGCGCTTCTGTCGCAGCGTCACCTTGTCCGCTTTGGGCAGCTCGACGAACTGCATCCCAAAGACGTCCATGAGCTGGCTGTTAGCCTGCGAGAAGACGTCCTTGAACAGGCGAGTATAGGAACCCAGGACTGCATCTGTTAGTCTCAAGTCATATAGAACTCCAATGCACTCACCTTTCTCGTTGATATCCGCGCGCTTTATTGGCTTCCGTGAATGCTCACACGACAGGGCATAGCGCACCAAACCTTTTGCTAGTTGATCAACGCTGCCGCTGCCCTGCGCCTCTCTGATAGCGTCCTCCATGTCAATGTCTTCATCTTCTTCAGGAGTGTCATCTCGCCTTCGCCGTTGTGACTGTATCGGCACTGGTGAGGATACTTGAGTAGCCGCCTGTCGCGATCTGCGTGGAGGCATCGTGTGTGGTAAGTGTGTGAGGCGTGGGGTAGACTCAATCTATCACAGAATTACCGCGTAGGGCTGACGCGACGCGCCGCGGTGAAAGCCGCGCTAAGGTGCTCGCTTCCGGGCCGGCGACGACATCATCGAGACATGGTCCGAGCTGCTCCTCCGCATTTCAAGTCTCAATCCGCCCATCGTGACTTACCCCAGCCAATGCAGCCACCATGAATTCCATACGATTCGCCGCGCGACGGCCCATATTCCGCTGCCTCAACACGCCTGCGCCGCTCCGCTCTAACCCCCAATTCCGCCAGGGCTCGCGCTCCAGCAGAGCAGACTTCGAGGCCATCCTCAAGCAGGGCGCCCGTCCCAAGGTCCCTCGCCCAGATGAAGACTTTGTCTCCGTACACCGCGCCGAGGCCATGCGCCGTGCGCACTTGATCAAGAGGCGGAATTGGCTGGCTCTCGGTGCTGCGCTCTCCATGATAGCCCCCATCTTCCTCGTACGGTTATGGGATGTGCCGCCGCCTGGGGAGAAGGATGAGAAGCCAAGTCGCGGCATATTCGACATGATCATGGGCCCGCCCACCAAGTGCGATGCACCGCGCAAGGCAGCAGAAGAGTTCCAGGGCAAGAAGGTCGTCATCGCAGCTGGCGACAAGGTCATTGCTACAACAGGCGACACCGACAACCCGCAAGCCTCTGACCCCGACGCCATCGAGCTCGTCGAGACAGGCACCTCCTACGTCCCCTACTTCCCGCGCACCATCCGCCTCCCCACCGACACCGCTGGCCCCGAAGCCATCACCAGCGACGCAGAATACACACTCCTCGGTCTGGGCATCCGAAAAGTCTCCTTCCTGCGCGTCCAGGTCTATGTCGTAGGCCTGTACGTCAAGACCGCCCACCTATCCACCCTCCAAAACCACCTCATCAACACCGTAAACCCCACCGCCTCGGCCCTCATCCCCAACGAAAAGAAAGACCTCCGCGAAGCCCTCCTCGACCCCGAGAAGAGCAACAAGATCTGGGAGTCGATACTCGCTAAAGACGGAACCGCAGGCGTCGACATGGCCTTCCGCGTCGTCCCCTGCCGCGGCACAGATTTCAAGCACCTCCAAGACGGCTGGATGCGCGGCATCGCCTCGCGCACCGACGAAGTCCGCCGCAAGCAAGCCGAGCTCCTCCGCCAACAAGCCGCAGAAAATAAATCCATAGCCCTTCCCAAGCCCGTCGAAGAAGGCGAGTTCCAAGATGAGTCCTTCGGCGTTGCTATGAAGGAGTTCCGAAACTTGTTCCAGGGCAAAGGGAAGGCGCCAAAAGGCTCGGTTATTATTCTTACCAGGGATAAGAGCGGTAGTCTAGGTGCGCTGTACCAGCCGCTTGTACAAAAGGGGGATAAGCAGGAGACGATGGGGAAGAGCAGTTGGTTGGGTGAGGTCAAGGATGAGAGGGTGGGGAGGCTGGTTTGGTTGCTGTATCTTGGTGGGCAGAATGTTAGTAGTGAGCCGGCGCGGAAGAGTATTGTGGATGGGTGTATTGATATTGTTGAGAGGCCGGTGGGCACGCTGGAGACTATGGTTCATTAGTGGGGTGCGAATGAAATGGGTTTGGTTTGCGTGGGTGCGGATTGGACGCTTCGCGCATGTGACCATGGGACATGTTTTTCCGTCTCGTCTTTCGGTGGTGTATATAAACTTCGCTCCAGTGCCGCACTACCTTTCTTCTTTACATTACTTCTCGTTCTCAGACTACCAAAAAGCCATGGTTTTGCAACGATGGCTCGTCCGTCGAGCAATTTTCCAAAAGCGAATCGCATCTTAGTCATGTCTCCCTCTGTCCCCTCTTCTGCCGACTGCTACCATATTACGTCACCTATCAATCAAAATCTCAGATCACTTTTCGACATGACTCCTCCGTCGAGCGCTTCTTCCAAAAAACGACGACCTTTTGCTTTATGTGTCCGCCGTTCTTCCCGCCTCTCCGCAGACTACGAATACGACTACGACTTCACTCCTACTTTCGAATTACCAAAATCTCTTACCAAGATGTCAATGTGCGCTCGTCGAGCACTTCTTCCAAATTTCGCAAATAAAGAGATAGGGCTGGTTCTCTTCTTGCCTCTCGTCGGCGACCTGGATTATTCAGAACACCGATGCAAAATGTTCATCGTGCGCTCGTTGAGCACTTCTCCAAATAGTGGATAATCAGGGCATATGACTGCTGTTCTTCTCGCTTCTTCGCCGACTACTCGAAGGATTTAAAAAAGAAGACTAAGACCGCATAGCGCGTTCGTTGAGCAGCTCTTCCAAAAACAACAGTCGAAGCGATGAATGTCCTCCGTCTTTCCCGCCTCTTCGACTACTCCTCGGAATATTAAAAACGACTCGGTGTTTGCGGTATGGCGCGGTCGTCCGGCGCCTCTTCTGAAATCTCGTTCAATTAAACGCCATGACTGGCGTTCCTCCCTGCCTCTTCAACTGCTACTTGGAATATTCGAAATGAGAACGAAAATCTATCATGGTTTGTTCGTCGAGCACCTCTTAAAAACCATAATCTGACATGTACATGGCTTCCGCCCTGTCTCGGCTCTTCACCGACTCCCCAAATACCAAAAACTCCGGGAACCGCCCCGCATGTCTGCTCCGCTAAGCACCCTTCCACCAAAACGCGCGTCAAGGAAGCAAAATGTCCGCTACTTTCTTCTGTTTGGCGACTCAAAACAGAGGGATTTACAAAAAATGTCTGCTTCTGGAATCACACTGATTGAAGGTCTATGTCGGCTGCTTCTCCCTCGACTTTCGGTCTTATCAAAAAGCAAATCGCCCCTGGTGATGGTTGGCTCGTCCCTCGAGTACTCTATCTAAACGTGGCAAGAGACGCGGCATGTCTTCTGCTCTTTCCGCCCCTTCTCTATCACTCAAAAATCTCAAGCGGCTGGAATATGTTTCTTCTGGAAACCACTACGAGAAGGACTATGACTGTTGCTCGTCCTTTGCCATCCGGTATTCTCAAAAGCCTCAGAAACGTCTTTCATGGCTGGCCTCGCGCTTCCCAAAAGCCACTGGTATCGATTGCATGTGCCTGAGACCGAGTGTCTCCGCCCGTCACTTCAAATACCACATCGCAGCCTGGGATGTCTCTTCTGGGTTCTCTTTATTTGAACAGCATGACGGTCACTCCTTCTTCTTCCTCCGCTATCATCCAAAAAGGTCACTGAGCGAGTTAATGGCTGGCTTCGCCCTTCCCCAAAAGCGCCGTGCACCAGTTTATGATTATGCGCCTGAGATTCTCCGCAGACTACTCAAAAACGCACGAAACGAAGGCATGTCTCCCTCGGCACTCCTCCGAGCTTATCATATATATCTGTCTGTCCTTCATACAAAACACCACGCCATCGAGAGCACCAGAAAACCCAATCATGGCTGACTTCGCCCTTCTCGAAATGTACAATACACCGCTGTATGGTTCTGGGACTGAGTGTCTCCGTCAACTGCTCAAATGGAGTCTAATACGAATTATGCCTCCTCCCGAAAAGCTGAATACAAATCATATATGCCTGCTTCTCCGTCGGTCGACGAAAAACTACCTCTTCAAAACAGGAAGATGTTTGAGCCATGGCTGTCTTTGCGCGCCTCAAACCCAACGGCAACAAATGCATGACGCTGGCTCCGGAATATCCACTCTTACAAGACAATGAAAACCCATCAGGCAAGCGTGGATGTTTGGAAACTGGGTATAAAAGTCTCACCTAGCCGCTCCTTCCTTCCTTCCTTCAATACACACCGTTCTGGGTGTTTGACCAAAATAAGTAAAGATACGGTATATGTCTGCGCCGGCGAGACGTTTTCTAAAAGACATCATGTGGCATGACATGTCTTTCTCTGAAATACCACGCCTTTGATCCAAAACTACAGTCCAAAGTCCTATGTTACAAACCGGTTCTAAAAGCTGTGATGAGCATATCCAAATTTATTGAGATCGCGAGAATGTCGCTGTCTCTGCTTCTCTTCTTTAACACACAACTCTTGGATGTTTTACCAAAAATGTACACGCAAAAGCTATGTCTGCGCCGGCGTGGCTTTTTCAAAATCTCACACAGCAGATCACATGTCTCTGCTCAAGAGGCGGCGCCTTTTACCCAAAGACACTTCGTAACCTTGCCATGTTTCAAAAAACCCCGAACAAGTACCGCATGAGCACGTTGGAAAGACTGGCTATAAAATCATCACGTCGCTTTCTCTGCTTCCTTCCTTCAATCCACATCCTTTCGGGTGTTTTACCAAAACATCCAAGGACACGAGGCCATGTCTGCGCCGGCGCGGCGTCCGAAAAATAAAAACGTCAACAACGATCATGTGTTTCTCTGAAAAGTTACTTCTTGTACACAAGATGCTGAGCAAGTATGGGATGTTAAAAGATCTGTGAAGCGATACTCGGATGAGTCTGGTGTGGTCTGCTGTGGCCTTGTCAAAAAGCCACATGCTCTCCAAAGATGAGATATGCCAGGCCCATGGCGGGAGAGGACGTGGTGTCGGCTACATACCGAAATGAGAGGAGCGACTTCCTATGATCTGCCTGTCGCCAGCGCTGAGCTATGCGAGAGGTGTATAAAAGCTCTTCTTCCGCCGGCTTCCTCCTTCTTTCCTCAACCACACTCATTGCGAGCTTTTCCAAACCCTGTACTAGCATGCTCATGTGCTCCTCTTTTGTTGCTTTCTCTAAAAAGTAAAAAGGCACACGAAATGAGACCTGGCCCTCACCGCTCGATTTTCCAAATCGCTATACAAGCTCTTCATGCGCTCGCTTCCTGCGTCTTTCTCTTCCACACCCGCTGTAAGCTTATTCAAAGCACGCAGAAGTATTTACAATGGGCTGTTCCCCCCTCTCTTTCTCCAAAGAGCTCCCAAATCGTCCCATGAGCCCTGCTTGTCTCCGCTGCGCTATCCGAGCGATGTATAAAAGGCCCTTTCCACCGGCTCCATTCTTCATTCCGCATCTATACTCCTTGTGAGCTTCTTCCAAAAGATAGGGAAAATGTGGCATGGACTGTCTCCTCCTGCTTCTTTCAAAACATGGATTTCGAGCTCGAATGTTCCGTCTCCTCTCCTCCGCGTTCAAAACATATATCCTAAGGTCGCATGGTTCGTTCTCCTGAGTCCAATAACCTCAACACTCGCTGCATGTCTCAGGACTTCGCCATCGACTCACTCTACCAAAATCAGTGCCGCTCTCCTGTATGAAAAGATAAGACCAACGCCTTTCTAAAATGAACGCCGCTACTTCCCATGGAGATCTTCTAAAAATAAGGTGGATAGTTGGGATGAGAAGCGCTCTCCGGCCTGCCTCTATTGTTAAACCCGCTGCCTCACCTTCGACATATAAAATACGCCCGCACCCTATCCATGTTCTTCTCCTGCAGCCTCTCGCGACTGGGACGATACCAAAACTTGATCATTGTATGCCCATGGTCTTCGCTGAGATGGCTCTATGCCAAAGTCACAGCAGAAACGAAGCATGGTCTGAGAGTCTTTCTCTCTCCTGGTTTTCTGATTCTTTACCTTGCCTCGCTTTGAGAAATACCAAAAAGAAAAGCTTAGACACGCGATGTGTTTGCCTGTGCTGAGCTGAAATCCCACCTGGGCAGAAACAAAAGTGTACAATTACTGCTAACATGCTGCTTGAGTCTTCTCCTCCCTTACTTCTATCCTTCCACGGCCCGTCTCAACCCGGCGGATATCAAAACGTTCCAAACGACGTCATATGTCTCCGCTGACTGGACTTCGGTACCAATCTCGTAGACTAAAAAGGAACACTCAACCTGTTTCATGCTCCTGGAAGTCCAGCTCCTCCTTCTTCTGCGTTTCTACTCCATTGCTGGATATCAAAAAGCACAGAACCCGACCCTATGTGTGAGTGGCTGCCTGGACTGAGATACTTAAGAAGGCCGCCGTCGTCTATCATATGCTGCTGAGCTCCCAGCGCGCTCGACTTCATCTTCCTGCGACCTTCTCGACTTGTCAAACTACCTAAAAAGCGAAGTGGAGGCTATATGTCTTCAGCCTGCTGCATTGGACTTCACCTAAAAAGGCCTCCTACAAGACGCACATGCTCCTGAGCTCTCGGACTCTCTACAGCGCTCCACTTCTTACTGTCTACTTTAAAATCACCTTTTCATCGAAGAGAAAAACCGAAAAAGTTCTGGAAGAAATGCATGACTGTGTCCCACTGTTCCAAGCTCTTCGGCTACTACTTAAAACTCGAGAAAGCGACCGCGTGTGAATCTGAAGGCCCGCGATCCCCGTTCCTTCACTGCATCACCAGGTTTCAAGAACACAAAAGAGCCAGATCACAGCTTTATGAGCCAAGTTTGCTGGTCTGGAAATCGCTACTTGAAACTTATATTCGGGCATTCCATATCTCTGGGTTTCCGCACTCGCTGGCTTCTATCCTTCTACATTCCACTCGCCTTTACGAATTATCGAAAACACTAGAAGGTAGTCTAATGTGTGTGGTTGGCTGGGCAGAGACCTGCTACCTAAAGTACATTTTTAACATCGCCATGCTTCTGGGGCTCTGGGCTCGCCAG